CCTGGCATTGGTGGTGTGAGCTGGGCTTGGGTGCTGCAAGCCTGGCATTGCTGGTGTAAGCCTGGCATGGGTGCTGCAAGCCTGGCATTGGTGGTGTGAGCTTGGCTTGGGTGCTGCAAGCCTGGCATGGGCGGCGCAAGCCTGGCATGGGTGCTGCAAGCCTGGCATTGGTGGTGTGAGCTTGGCTTGGGTGCTGCCAGCCTGGCATGGGTGCTGTGAGCCTGGCATGGGTGGCGCAAGCTTGGCTTGGGTGCTGCAAGCCTGGCATGGGTGGCGCAAGCCTGGCTTGGGTGCTGCAAGTGTGGCATGGGTGGCCCACATCTGGAATGGGTGTTGCAAGCCTGGTAGGGGTGGTGCAAGCCTGGCATGGGTGCTATGAGCCTGGCACCAGTGCTGTGAGCCTGGCACGGGTGCTGCGAGGCTGGCACGGGTGCCGCGAGGCTGGCATGGCCCCCTGGCCCCCCTCCCGGGGCAGCTCCTCCCTCGCCGGTGGTGCCAGCCGCCTCTGAAAACCCCCGTGTCCTCTGGCCGGACCCACCCCCAGAGGGGTGAGTCAGCCGGCGAAGCCTTTCCTTATATAACGCGGCGTCATCGCCGCGCCGGGCAAGCGCCCGCTGAACTGCCCCTGCCTCAGTTTCCCCTCGCCGGGGCGTCACCGCCACCGCTGCTGCAGTCATGTGGATGGTGTCACCACCGGTCGGTAAGTGCCAGCTTGACGCCCCGATACCGCTTGGCCCCTTCACAAGGCATCTAACCCCCTCCCCCGCACCAAAATAGCTGTTTTGGGGGGTTTAGCGAAAAAATAAGGGTCATCAGCCAAGCGCCGCTTGCTGCAGTCCTGTGAATTGGGGCAGAAGAGCCTAAAAACAATAAAGCAGCCCCCCAAAAACAGGTTAATTCTGCACCTCCTCTGGCTGAACCCCCTTTTCCCCTCGGCCTTGGCAGGGTGACACTCCCCTGGGGGGCACAAGCCCCCCGTAACACAGATGGGATCACCTGGGGAGAATCAAAACTGCCTTTTTTCCCCCAGACATAGTAATAAAATGCACGGGCAGTGGCATGGGGCTGAGGAGGTCCCTCCTGCCCCAGCCCTTTGCTTTCAGGGCTAGAAACGCCAAGAATGAGCAAGTTTGGGCACCGTGGCGATGCCTGGGGATTGTGATGCTCACCGGTGCCCAGATCCAGTGTAGCAGTGGCACTGGTAACCCTCCCTGGGGGCCTGATCCTGCCCAGCGCTGGGAAGGGCACGGATGGTGACAGCAAGCCTCAAAATCACTGGGTTTTGCCCCTTCTTCCCTTTGGAGGCCCCAAAACCCACCAGACTAGCCCCAACCAAGGATAAAAAGGGGGGGACGGCACCAGGCATGTGCTCAGACCCCCCAAAATCACCAGATCCGATAAAATCCAAGGTGGCGGAGCGACCATCCCGGCAGATCGGGGGGAGTTTTTCCATCCCCACCCACCCGGCTCAGCCTGTACCAGCGGCTTGGGGCGCGGTGTCCAAAGGTCACTGGTGGTGGCCGCATCCATCCCACCACTGGCACGCGGAGCCACCGACCCCGGCAGGATTCCCAAAACCAGGAACATATTTTAATTCCTCGCAACTGCGGGGTTTTTTTTAATTCTATTTTTTACACCTCGGGAACTGTTTTCAGCGGCATTTCGATGCCACGACGGTGATAAGTTGGCCCAGGCTCAGCCGGGAGCGGGTAAAGGGGGGGTGGGCAAGGGAGGGGGTGGCTTTTGTTTTGCTCTGACGTGCTGTTTTCTTTCAGATGAAGGATCTCACCAGCTTGCCTGGCTTTGGGACCACGGCAAAGGCAGGGTGCAAAGCCCACTAGTAGGACATGACCCTTAAACTCTTTCTCTAAAGCTTAGCCCTATAGGTATATAAGATCAATAGAGCTTAAAACCGGGGTTGGCTTTTAGTCTAAGCTTGGGTTTGGATTTATTTTTCTTCTTTTTTTTTTATTTTTGTGATTCTTTTATTGGTTTTATTTTCATCTCCGGCGGGTAGATAAGAGGCAGGGCTTGCAAAAAAACCCAAACCAAAACATCCCCCAAAATATCCCACTGCTTGCTTTTGGGGGTTTTGGTTTGAGGAGGGGAACAGCCAGCAAGGCTCCTGCCGTCAGCAGCACCCCCCAAAATCTCCTCCAGCCCCTTTCCAGCGCTGGAAGAGGGGGGTGCTGCGGGGCTTTGTCCCCCCCTCCCCAGCACCGACCTGCTACCTCGGGGAGGGTTTAAATAACTCCCCAGTTGGAAAGTGGCTGTCAGTTCCGCCTTTCACCGGCCGCCTCGGTGGGTTGCAGGTATTTTCCAGTCCACGAAGAAGCTGTTCCTGAGTGAGCGAGCTGGCCAGGGTCAGACCCTGGAGTTCATCCGGAAAAACGCTGCTAACGGGCTCTCCGTGGCCAATTTGGTGGCGGGGCTCTCCTCCGTCCTCTGCAGCCTCAATAGGTGGGGAAAAAGGGGAAATGGGGTGAAACTGGGGAGGAGGGGTGTGTGCAAAGGGCAGGTCACCCCATTTTTGCCCTCACCATCCTCCCCAGGCAATACCACCACTCGTGCTGGCTGCTGCTGGTAGGGTTTCTGCTTGATCTGGCTGACGGAGCCGTCGCCCGACAGCTCGACGCCTGCTCAGCGCTGGGTGAGTCTGTCCCGCCGCCCCCGGGAACCCACCACCGGGTTAGCCCTCCCCCGCTATCCGTCTGGCAGCTGCCCGCTTGCTGCCCGCAGGTGCCAAACTGGATGATTTCGCCGACTTCACCACCTTTGGGCTGGCCACAGCTCTGCTGCTGCAGCCGCAGGGCGTCCTGGATGGGCTGCTGGCCATCGCCTACGTGATGGCTGTATTTGCTCGCCTCTGCTTCTTCTCCAGCGGTAAGCTGGGTGGTTTGGGGGGCAGCAGGGGGGGCTTGGGGGGTGATTTCCCCCCTCAGCTAAATGTCTGGCACCCAGCAGGGATCCCCTTCACTTACCGGGGGCTGCCCTGTCCCTACGCCTCCTCGCTGCTGGCGGGCACCTTCTTGCTGACAGGGGGTAACATCACCCTGCTGCGCATCACCGCCATCCTCATGATCCTCTTCATGGTCGATCGGGGTTTCTATCCCCACGACAAGGTGCTGGAGTCGCAGCTCTGGAAGAAATTGGTTTACGCTGGAGGTAAGGATGGGGACAAAATCAAGGCGGGGTAATTAAACCCACTGAGATGGCGGCAGAGGAAGGAGCAGATCCCAAACGCTTTTCCTAATCCGCAGGCGTGGCAGCCGTCCTCTTCTCACCGGCGGTGGTGGCTTCCATCTATTGCCTCGCCTGGTCGATGTCCTACATCATCTTCCCCTTCGCCATCTGGAGCTGCAAAGCCTAACCCCTGCCTTCGCCTAATGGCTAGTAAAGCCTTCCTCTTCCTCCTCCTCCTCCTCACTCTTGGGTGCCGCCTCCTCCACCGGTATTTCCCTTCGCTCTTCTCAACGAGTAGGAGCTGCAGCAGGAGCCTGTTTAGAAAAGAAAAGGGAAATTGAGCAGTAGGAAAGGCTCTGCTTCAGGGGAGCCCCAAAATACCCTCCCCGCACCCTGTCCCTCTTGCGGGGGAGTCAGCAAACACCTGTCCCCTGCTCCAAGAACAACCACCCCGGTTTGGAGACCCACAAACCCTTCCCTGCGCAGGGGAACATGAAATTAGGTATTGCTCCCACCTTGCATCGTTAATTTATTACGAGGGGGAGGTTTACACCCTCAAAGATGAGGACGCCCCCTCCCTGCGGGGGAGGAAGCCGACGATCAAATCTCCAGAGGGTTTTTGAAACCCGATTCACCGGCAACGTTTTGGTATTTATTATTTTACCTGTCACTCTAGGGAAATAATCTCTCGAATGTGTTTTATTTTCCCACCTCCCTCGGTGTTCGCTCGCTGGGGTGTGGGAGGGAGGTAGAAGGGGAAAGAGGGATTTGAAGCCTGTGATCCGAACTCTCTGGAAAGCCAGAGGATGCGGGACGGCGGCAACTGGAAAGCGGAGGGCGTGTGGGTGGAGGAAGGAAGCGAAGGTCAAACCTTGCGCTGAGCGGCGGAGAGAAACACTCGGGGTCCCCGGGGAGGCTCCTGCGCCGCGAGCAGCTGCAAGAGCTGGATGTGGCCCCCACCGTATCG